TTAAAATTATTCTTTTACCTTTCTTATAGTGGAATGTAGAATCCATAGTCATACAGAATTACTGGAAGTCCCAACACCATCCAATGTAAATAATTGATCCTAGCGATATACGAATCCAAAAAAATTTCAATTGCCACTTATACATTTTTGAATCCATTAGCACCTTCTCGAGAGTCACCCACCTTGTTCAAATCTAAATTGTACCGCCCAAATGGGCCGAAAGACACATGAAATTAGCATAACAACACTCAAAGAAGTAACCCTGCTTTAGCACCACCAATCAAATTCATACTCCGTGCGCACTACATCCTTCAAATAACAACTTAATCATTCCATGATTTTCATATTTTCATAAAGTGTAATGCTACCCGTATTCAGGAAATTTCCTTGCTCGAGTCATCATCAATCTCAACATCTGCAGTCATAACTGATTCACAAGTATGTCCCAAACCAGAACTAAAATTTAATATATAACCATGAAATTAAGCCGTCCGCAGTAGGCTCCCCCACTTGGCTCAAAGCCGTAGAACAAAACGTTCCGTAACCCACAATATCCATACTCTATTACTACTATAATACCGGAGTCAGTTCAACAAAAATTATTCTTAAGCTCATGCAACACCAACCATAAGATACCTCAATCATCCGCTAAACTCGCATTTATTCTCTTGGCGGTCATGACAACTTTCTCAACCGGGTTCAAAGTCAAATCTCAACACATACCCCGCTGGTAGATAAGAAACTCTCCACTCAACACTATAAGGAACACACCTACGTAGATCACTCTGCAGGAGATAACCCATCTATTTAGCCTCGAATTGGCATCTTGCTATACCCTTTCGCAGCCACCATTACTATGCAATCACTTAATCTTTCTGAGTATGAACTCATCAACACGACATGAAAATCTAATTCGCTCCACAATTAAACTGTATGACAGATCCTTCAACACACTCATAACTCGGACCGTACATCACATCACATCGAAAATCAAGCACCCAATGGCCCTCTTTACATTCCAAGGAAATACTTCTCGTCACATTCAAACCATATTAACACATCCTGCAGTTACATCATACTTATCATATAGACATTCAACTGCTCATCGAGCCAAAAATTCTATTCATAGGGACATTACCGGACATATGAGTCCAAACGTACAAGTTCACACAACTGAAGCTACCGAGCCTAAGTTGCGGTCTAAACCTGGCCTCAAGTCCTCCAAACTGGCCCATCACCAAAACACATCTCGAACCTCGTTCATAAAATCACAAGCCGGCGATGCACAACTGATACCGAGCACTCAAATACGCACACGGATGCAGGGAAGGAATTCAAAGAGTTATGTTTCAAGCTGAATCAATTCTGCACGATAAGGAAAGAAATATGGGAAATTATCCTAAATGCCATGTAACCTCTCGAAGATAAGTATGAACATTATCACCGATCCGCAAGACTCTACTAGATACTTGCTTATTACTTGTAGAACCTATGAACCTAGAGCTCTGATATCAAATTATCACGAGCCAAAATCCAACTAGTCGTGATGGCACCTAACCTCACCCACTAGGTAAGCCAAATAACAATAATCTGATTTAATTAATATTTAACTGACTCTAATACACTCCCCAAGGACTAATAGTACAAATCATGAGCTTTTAAGATTGGAATTTACAAGCTGGTATGAAATAAATACATCATCGGTTCGAAATGTACATAAGCAGATTTTTATAAATCTAAGGCTACCATGAACAAGAGGCAGCTATGACCGGAACACAGGTACATCTTCAAATCCAGCTCTCGTCAATCACAGCAACATCAGCATCTAATATTTGCATGCAAGATACAGAAGTGTAGTATGAGTACAACTGACCCCGTGTATTCAATAAGTAACAAATCTAACCTTAGGTTGAAAGTAGTGACGAGCTGGAATAAAGGTGAGGGTCCAACACCAATAGCCAATAACAGTTCATAACAACATAATAGAAGTAATAAAAGAAGTAGTTCAGAGATAAAATGCTCAGCTCATTCACAGTTCCAGAAAAATAGGCTTGCTTTTCAAGTATATCAGTGAAAACCCAAATCTTTTAGCGAAATCACCAAAATATGAGTACGTTTTGTAAAACTGTGATTTTTTTCAAAACCTTTTCAACAATAGATAGGATGTTTCATTTTCAAATGGCATGAGAAAAATACATCTTTATGCCTACATGTCAATGAGTATGTGAACTCATGAATGATGCAATATCGTACAGCATGAGGAAAAATGCATCTCTATGCCTGTATGTCAAGTGTGCATGTCAATACGATACAACTCGGTAATAAAACCATATACATACTCTCAGAGTATCAATTCACTCAGTCCTCTCGGTCACTCAGTACTCACAGTCACTCAGTTCTCACAATCACACAGTCCTCACAGTCAGTCAATCCTCCCAATCGCTCGGTAGGTACTTGTGCTCACTGAGGGTGTGTACAGACTCCGGAGGGGCTCTTTCAGCCCAAGCAATATAATCTGCACCGACAACTCACGTGCTATAGTATCAATATCTGGATCCGCACGGACAACTCACACGGTGTACGGATAACTCACGTGTTATAGTAACAATATCTGGTTCTGCACAGACAACTCACATGCTGCACGGACAACTCACGTGCTATAGTAAGCCAATCTGGTCTGCTGCGGCGTGCAGCCCGATCCCATAGTTATCCTCACAATCAGGTCATCAGCCTCACTCAGTCATCAATCTCTCCAGTCTCTCGGGCTCACAATGTCATAAAACTAGCCCAAAATGATGATATGATGTATCAATAAATAACAGCAGAGACTGAGATATGATATGCAATGAATGAATATGACTGAGTATAAAATTACAGTTTAAATATATAATTCAACAGTAGAAATAACCTCAGTAGGTCCCAATAATACCAACATTTGCCTAAGCATGATTTCTATCATGAGTCACAGCTCAGTTTCTCTAACACATAAAAATACATGGAAGAATACATGTTAATTGACTAAACAGCTCTACGAAATCAACTGAGTCTCAATTTCTTCGGTGCACGCCCACACGCCCGTCACCTAGCATATGTGTCACCTCCAAACAATTCACATAACTCGTATAATCAGGGTTCATACCCTCAGCTCCAAGATCAGAGATGTTTTGTGTAATTTCAATCAAATTAGGCTTTTGAATCACCCAATTTGGCCTTAAAATGAGGGAGATATGATGTTTTGAAGATTTAAAGGAAGTCTGAAAATTTAAGGGATAAAAATATGACATTTTCGTAATTATTTTACACCAGAAAATCAGCAACGAAAGAATTTTTATTTTAGTACCCAAAACTCATTCGGAACCTCCCGAATACAAACCATATATGTGTTTCAATCATACAATACGCTACGAACCTGCTCACACACTCAAAACACCGAAAAGATATCATCTTGACCCAATATTGACCATGGTCAAACTCCAAATCCTTAACTTAACTAGTTTTTCAACCAGTGATCCAAAACACACACGAGTCCCTCGGAACCCCATTCAATCATACCAACAAGTCTTAAAACACGATACGAACTTAGTTGAAACCTCAAATCACATCAAACAACGCTAAAACCACGAATCATACCCCAATTCAAGCTTAACGAAACTAAAAAATTTCAACTTCTACATTTGATGCCGAAACCTAGCAAATCAAGTCTGATTGACCTCAAATTTTGCACACAAGTCATAAATGACATAACGGACCTATGAAAATTTTCAGAATTGGATTCTGACCCCGATATCAAAATGTCAACTCCCCGGTCAAACTTCCAAACTTAAATTTCTATTTTAGTCATTTCAAACCTAATTTAACTACGGACTTTCAAATAATTTTTCGAACACGCTCCTAAGTCCAAAATTACCATACGGAGCTATTGAACTCATCAAAACTTCGTTCCGAGGTCAAATTCACAAAAGTTAAACTTGGTCAACTTTTCCAACTTAAAGCTTCCTAGTTGAGAATCGTTCTTCCAATTCAATTCTGAATAATCTGAAAACCAAAAACGATGATTCACACAAGTCATAATACATCATACAGAGCTAATCATGCCCTCAAACTATCGAGCGAAGTGCAAATACTCAAAACGACCGGTCGGATCGTTACAGGTGTTTTCGTTATCAAGTTTGTTAACGTGCCGATGATGGGTGGAGATATGAGTAGCATTGACAAACCTACATGAATACCGCCTAATGCCTTGTTCTGAAAAAACACTTCAGGAATCGTATTATTTTTCTTTTATCATCATATTATTCTTCTTGAATTTGTGCAACAGCATTTTCTTATCTTATTAAAATATTTCAATTTTATTTAAAGTATTAATTAAAGTTTGAAACAGTTATCGTACAGACTTGTGTCACAAAGAAACTAATAAGTAATAAAGTAAAGAAAGACAAAATAAGGATAGACTATTGGCCAACAGTACTCTCCAAAATAAAATTATAAATGCAATTCTAATATGAATCTTCAGTCAAAAGGGAAGGTCTGTTCACTGATTAAAAGTTCCAATGGTTAAGTCAAGCAAGGAAAATAAACAAGTTTGGACTAGACGTCTTCCGTTGAAGATTTGGTCTGATGGTCTAAAGTCGAATGGGCAAGATGTGTGAATTCACATTAAATGAAGGTCATTAATTTGCACAATCCAAGGAACCTAATTCTAAATGAAACCTATTTTAACCTAGGGAAACATTTAACATCTAATCCTAAAAGCTTTACACAAATAAAAAGTCATAACTAGAATTTCAAAAACAATGTTAGAAAAGGAAAGCAATTACCTCATCACTCCGTATATAACGAATTTACACACAAGCATTTATTCAAAAGCAGGTAATCTGATAAATGAAAGAGAAGATGGATACATAGGATTTGGTAATTAGCAGGAGCATAATTCCTTCATACACCAAGTTATCAAAATCCTAGAAATTTTATTCAAACTAAACCTAACTTAATACTAAGTACTACCAGTTAGTGAATAAAGCTTCACAAATCTCTGAGAAAACCTCAAAAATAATCTTGTGGAAAAAAGGTGAATTCAATGATAGAAAACAATGCAAAAGCCTTTGAAGATCGTCAACTCCAAAAATTTGTTTTTCTACTATCATTTCCACCATTGATGTTCTGAAATCATTGTATGGATCACTTGTATTCTTCTCTACTGCAATGCTCTCTTCAATTCTCCCGTCAATAACAATTGAAAACTGACCAATTTTATCAGAGCTAATTAAACTCAACTTCTTGATTTTCCGGTGGTTCCTCCCCGTTTTACGGCGACACTTGGTAGTTTTCCGACGAGTATTATCACTGTTCGAGTCACTGTAATAATCAAACTTCTCAGCCGGGCTGGTTTTCCGGCGTGTTCTTCCGCCAGATCTTGTCTGCTTTTCAACTATTTTTTTGGCTATTTTTGCTCTGTTTTGCTCTGTTTTAGAGGTGGGAAACTCGAGCCCATTTATCGATTTGACCCATTTTGACTCGCTCAAGTTTGACCCGACTCGTCCATTTACCTTGTTTTCGCTCGTTGCTGTTGAAATAGAATTGGCTGATAATTCAGAAGAACAACGACCCATTTCATAACTCCTTTGATTGTATCTTTTACTAGCAGTTTTTGGGCGAAAAGACTCGGAAAAATAACCAGAAGACAAGCTGAAAAAAGCATCTTCTGTTTCGCCACTAAATTCATCTCTTCCGTCACTGCTAAACCAGCCACTATTTGATGAAGAGCTTTTTATAACATTTGATTCTTTATTGGGTCTATGCGTTTTATTAGAACCTTTTGGAATTTTCAAATGATTCTTGTTTGATTTGGATTCTTGAGTTTTTATTGAAGATTGGGTTCTAGATGAAGCTCCAAGAACATGATTATTGGAGGTTTTGGAGATAACAATAGGGTTTTCAACAACATCGGGTAGATTTCGGAACTGACAAGAAGAGAAAGAAGAAGGGAACAAACGAGAGAATTTGTGTACTATGTTATTCTCCATGCTGTAGTAATTCAAAGCACTCTCACTGAGCTGCATGCATATTAATAGTGTGTAGAATATTATGCTGGATATTAAATTATAAAGATTCATGGGATGGGAATAATAAAACAATACATTGGTATATATTTAATTAATTAATTTAGTCGTTGTAGATTCTTAAAAATTTACAAGTGAAAGTAGAAAATGACAAGCTGGAATTTCTAGGCCAGAGATATTCAAACTTGTGAATTATACATTATTGGGAGTCACATGGAAGCAGTAGGATGAATCATTCCCTCTCACTTATACATACGATATTTTCCTTCTTTTTTTCTTCTTTTGAATGGTCTTGACTCTTCTATCACATTAGAAAAATATATATATATATATATATATTTCAAAGAAAACAATTGAAGTAGGAGATTCAGAATACGAGAGTCATTGTATAGGGTAAAATATGATATGACATGTAGCTCGCTAAAATGAGGACACGTGGAATCCAAGATGGAATGGTTGAGTACCGAACGCAACATTAAGAGCGACGGTCCATTACAAAGAATTTAGCATTTACGCTCAACGTTACATCTTCATCAATAACCCTTATAATTGGCATTAAAGGAGCGCATGATCCTGGGACCTTTTTTCCTAGGCATAGCTATAAATTGTGAGCTCAGTTACCATTGTAAAGGACACGAAAATTATGGTTAGAACATATACTATATTCTATACAAAGCTTTATACAATTTCACTCTCTTGCTTTTTTATCTCATCATTGTTGTGTTCGAAAACTGTGTTCACGGAACCACTATCTTTGTTATTTCATCGATATTTCAAGGCTAAGTACTGCGTATTTCTTCGATTATTATATTATTTCAGGATCAAATTAGTTCACTTGTCTAGAAACCACGTATAAATTCAAATGTACCATTTTACGGGTAAACAGTTTGGCGCTCACCGTGGGGCCTAGACAGCCGTGTAATTAAATTGATCCTTGCCTTTTTTACTAACGTATTTTGACTATTTTGTCTTAGAAAAAATCGCAAAAAATGGCAGATAACACTGTTAATGATACACACAACCCTAAAATTCGAGAGGATCAACCTCATTTCGAGGACTCAATCAGTGACACCCGCAATGAGGGAAATGATGCCACGCCGGTGCATGACAGACGGTACCCTCGACAGGTGCGGGAGACAACTCCCGATGATGCTGACGAGGAGCAAGTAGCGGATGCTCTGAGGATCCTGCAAGAGCAACAGGCAATCATTCTAGGCCATCTCACGCAACATGATCAAGTTATGACGGAATTGAAGCATGCGCTATCAGGTGCTTCAAATAATGCAAACAAGCGCGATCCAATTCCTCTCGTTATTCCCGCAGACCAAATAATGTAGAGAGTCAACAACAACACTCCTAGGGGTGAAGTTGGCTCCGATGGGCTGGGAGAGTAGATCGGGTCTTAACAACGAGAACGATTCATTCAAAGATAAGATTTTAAGGTTCATGAGGGAAGTAAACGCCTGAATGGATAAAATCCCGGGCGCACCACCAGTATTGAAAGGCCCAAACTCGAAGAAGTATGTTCAATTATCGTACAAGCCAAGTGCGGCACCAGTACTAATCCCGAAGCATTTCAAAATGCCTGAAGTTCCAAAGTATGATGGAACTTCAGACCCACAAGAACATATTACTACTTACACAATGGCATGAAAGGAAATGATCTAGCTCCTCACGAAATTGAATCTGTGTTGCTAAAGATATTCGGCGAAACTCTCACGAGAGGAGCCCTAATGTGGTATTCGTTATTGCCCGAGCATGCCATAGATTCCTTTAAGATGCTCGCGGATTCTTTCATTAAAGCTCATGTTGGGGCTAGAAAGGTGCAAGCTTGGAAGGGCGACATATTCAGAATCGCACAAGGAGAATCATAATTATTATGAGAGTTTGTTACACGATTCCAGAAAGAAAGAATGTTACTCCCGGTCGTCCCAGATGAATGGGCAACTGAAGCATTCACCAAAGGATTGAATCCGAGAAGTTCAGATGCTTCTCGGAAGCTGAAGGAGAGCCTGCTTGAGTTTCAAGCAACAACCTGGGCAGATATTCACAACCAGTACGAGTCGAAGATAAGGATCGAAGATGAACAGGTCAGTTCTACATCATCGGCCAAAGGACGAGAGAAGAACAGAGAAAATCAAAGGATGACTATGACATAGATAGACGAACTTCGAGGGGTCGGTTTTTGCCCTACGAGCGTACCGAAGGCCGTGGCAGCAATTTTCGAGCAACAAACAAGTTCACCATTGACGGAGGGATTGATCGCGGTCGAAGCAATAGATCACTTCAAGATAAACAAATGCCAGGGTCTCGAGATCTCTCTTACCCAGGTTATCAGAATATAACTTCAACGTCAGTGTAGTGGAACTGGTGTCAGCTATGAAGAATAAAGAAGCACGATTCCTGAGACCTATGAGGTCTGATTCCAGCGAGAGGGATCTCAATTTATGTTGTGAATACCACGGGATGAACGGTCACCGGACAGGGGAATGCCGACATCTTCAGGAGGAGGTGGCAACGCTATTGAAGAATGTTCATCTCCAAGAATTCTTAAGTGATCGAGCTAAGAAAATTACGATCGCAACAGAGACAACACGGAATCCTCGAAAGCAGAAGAAGAAACCCCACGCCAAACGATCAACATGATCTTTGGGGGGAACGAGATTAACGGGGTTACCTTTTTAGCGGCAAAGAAGACTAAAGTATCGATAACTCACAACAAAAGACTCTAGGAGGACGATATCACTTTTACGGAGGAAGACGCAGACGGATTGATGTTACCACACAACGACGCACTAGTAATCTCTTTAAATGTGTTAGATTTTAAAATTAAGCGTGTTCTAGTAGATCCAGGAAGTTCGGCTAATATCATACAATGGAGAGTATTGAAACAAGCTAAACTCATCGGAAGAATTATTCTGGCGACAAAACTCCTCGCTGGATTCAACCTTGCGAGCGTGACAACTTGGGGAGAGATCTTGTTGCTCATGAATGCTAAAGGAGTAATAAAAACAACTCTCTTCGAAATAGTGGATGGTGATATGGGATACAGCATCATCTTAGGAAGTTCATGGTTACACGAGATGAAAGTTGTACCTTCGACGTATCACCATTTGTTGAAGTTTCCGACGCTCGAAGGAATCAAGCAGATAAGAGGTGACCAACCGGCAGCGAGGGAGATGAATGCAATCTCAGTTTCCAGTAGCAAAGGTAAGGAGCGCACGGCATAGAAATTACAAAAACTGGCGCCTACTCCCGAGTTAGAAGAGGTTATTCCAGGGGCAGAATTGTCGAAACAATATCAGGTGCCTAGATATTTCCAAGTTCCGGAAGAAACGGACGCAACAAAATCCATGGCAGAGGAACTAGAGCAAGTGTGATTGATCGAAGAATGTTTAGAAAGAAAATTTCACTTGGGAACAGGACTACACCCCGATCTCAGGTCTAGATTTATTGAATTCCTTAAAATTAACGCTGATTGTTTTGCATGGTCGCACCAGGATATGACAGGCATCCCGACGGAAATAGCCGTGCACAAGCTAAGTTTGTACCCCAACGTACCACAGGTACGACAGAAGAAGCACCCTATTGCCGAGGCTAGGAATAAATTTGTCAAAGAAGATATAACCCACTTGCTTAAAATCGGTTCGGTCAGAGAGGTAAGATATCCAGACTGGCTAGCCAATGTAGTAGTAGTTCCTAAGAAGAACAATAAATTGCGTATGTGTGTATACTATAAAGATCTTAATAAGAAGTGCCCGAAAGATTCGTTTCCTTTGCCAAATATCGATCAAATGATTGATGCCATGGCCGGGCACGAGTTGATGAGTTTCCTTGATGCTTATTTCGGGTACAGCCAAATTAAGATGATCCCGGGAGATCAGGAAAAGACTTCATTTATAACAAATTTTGGTACATATTATTACAATGTAATGCCTTTCAGGTTGAAAAATGCCAGAGCCACTTATCAACAACTCGTAAATAAGATGTTTGAAAAGAAAATAGGAAAAACCATGGAAGTTTATATAAACGATATGATCGTTAAGTCATTGAATGCAGGTGACTAGCTTAAGCATTTGCAAGAAACATTCGATATCCTGAGGAAGTATGACATGAAACTTAACCCCGAAAAGTGCGTGTTCGGAGTCAACTCTGGTAAGTTCCTGGGGTTTTTTGTCTAACAAAGGGGAATTGAGGTAAACCCTGACAAAATCAAGGCCATAGACGATATCCCGGATCAATTATCAAATGTGGAGGAAGTCTAAAGACACACAAGAAGGTTAGCAGCTTTTAGCAGGTTCATTTCCCGGTCGTCAAAAAAGTGTCATCGCTTCTTTACATTGCTCAAAAAGAAGAACAATTTCGAATGGACGCCGGAGTGCCAGCAGGCTTTGAGGGACCTGAAGAAGTACTTATCAAGCCCTTCATTTCTCTCGAAACCAAAAGAAGGCGAAACATTGCTAGTCTACCTCACGGTTTTAGAAGTTGCGGTAAGTGCGATTTTAGTCCGAGAGGACGAAGGTAAGCAGTTTCCTATTTACTACGTTAGCAAAATTTGAACGGTAGCAGAAACTCGCTACCCACATTTGGAAAAACTGGCCTTAACTCTCGTAGTCGCCGCTTGGAAGATGAGGCCCTATTTTCATTGCCACCCAATAGCTGTGGTGACTATTTTTCCTTTGCGGAACATCCTTGATAAACCCGAACACTCAGGAAGATTGGCCAAATTTGCCATCAAAATGAGTGAATTCGACATAGAATATAAACCAAGGACTGCAATTAAGTTGTAAGTCTTGGCTGACTTCGTGGCCGATTTTAGTCTGGGACTGCTACCTTTGGCAACTAAGGAGGCAGTCATGGTGTCGAAATCGACATCAGGGTTTGGACCTTATTTACGGATAGAGCCTCAAACGTAAAAGGGTCTGGGCTCAGAATAGTTTTAATCACGCCTTCGGGGGAAATCTTAAGGCAAGCTATCAGAACAATTCCTATAACTAACA